AGATTTCCTTCTTCACGAGTTATTTTCAATTCGGATAACCTGAGTGTTTGCCTGAAATATTGATATCAAGATGTAGGCTGTCTTGAAAAGTTCATCAATCTAGCTACGAAATTCAGCACATCTTGTAAACTTAACCTGAAGGTCATTATTGTGAGCACAAACACCGAACATCGGAATACATCTTGAGTCTGTAGAATCTCCTCCATAAACAGCGGTAAACATTTCGATATGAAGTTATGTTCGAGAATGCACATATTCTGGCAGTGTACCCAACATATTCGCAGCTGCAAAACTTTTGCGCAACTCGAGTAAGCAGCGGCCTAGCAACTTGGGTGACCTTGACTCGAGAATCACGGCGGAGGTTGGGAGATTGTTACATGAGGTCGAATCTGTTTCTAGTTTTATTTCTGTCACTGTTGAGTTGCTTTTTAAATGGTACACTGTGGTTCGGAAGTTAAGGCCGAGGCGTTGGCTTTCTTGGTAGGCAGAGAGACGACCCGATGTTCCGATGGCTGGTCTATATCCCCCACAGCCGGCAAGAACCACACCTCCATGCAGCCTGGGGTAAACGCCACCGGTGTCGTGACGTATGGCTGTCTGACGGGGGTGGAGGGAGTCATGCTGTACCACATCTCGTATCAACGGCCCACAAACACTATCTTGGACCAAGTACGAAGCCAAACGTTGTAATGGAAAAGCGCTAAGACGTTCCAAGTGACGCGACTTGGAAGACGAATCAGTTTCTTTCGCAGTTCTGTCAGCAATGTGTCCGTCTTTCCGTTCGCCCATTCTTTGTTTATGTTCCTTTCTTTTACTTTACTGCAGCTGTTTTGTATTTCCAGGTGCATTCTTTTTGATATTTAATAATATATTGTTAATAGTGAAAGCCATAGTTCTCGAATCTCAATTTGGATTTTTTTTTTTCCTTTTTGAATGTTCCGACTTCGACAATGAATTCTGTCAGACAGGCCGCAGGACTCCTTAGAAAGAAGATTAGCCGATATGTACAGACTAGACTATTCAAATATCGTCATTTATTCCCCTACCTAAAAGCTGCCAAAATGAATAGCCCAGTGACGTTTCACAGATGAGCAAATTCACACACAGAAATTGGCCTACTGGAAACTGAAAGATTTGACTGTGTCAAAATTATGTTTCGAGTCACTGGAGAAAACGAGAGAAGGGGGTAGGGGGGTTCTTACGAGAGGGTTCGGTCTCAGATGGGTATTGATCCACCGCACCTTTTAAAACTCACTGAAGTTGCATTATGGGTAAACTAAGCTTCACGTACAGCACAGAGAAATAAATGGGAGAATGATATTAAAATGTATAAGTGAAATGGATTGTTAAAATATGAGTTTTATTAAAAGTGTTAAGACTAAAACACCACTTTTTACTCTGATATTGGCGGTATTAAAACTTTGGTTACTGCTGTAGGAGTATTATCTACATCGTTAATGAATTACTTTTAGCCAGTCAGTCCGTCCGTCAGGTAGGTAGTTGCGACCGCAACTAAAAAACAAGTTAGGCCTAATTCCTTACATACAAATCATGGACCTGATTGGCTGCTTAATGCCATAAATAATTCAAACAGCATTAAAAGATTCACTACACAGTCTTTCAGACTGAAGATTAATAGATAAAATTTCCTAAGCAAAAATGAATACGAAATAAATGAGTGTATGAAAAAACGTGTCCGTCCGCATTTTTAAGCTCCAAAACCATTGAACAAACGTGAGTGAAATTTTATAATTGTGGGGGCGCTAATTAAAAAGGTATTCCTTACTCCACATAGCCCCACGTAAAGCAAAGGTTAAATAATTTTATATAGAGCGGCTTAGCGTGCCGAAATTAGTACATGACAATAAATATATCCCCCGTAAGCTCTAAATTTCTATTTTAAATATTTTTCAAATGTGATAATTTTTAAACGACTACAACGAAAAATAATTTCTGACCACGCAGCGTCACGTTTCATAAATAAAATGTGAATTTATGTTACCATGGATACCGTAGGCGTATAAGAAAACAGTACGGTCTTCAAGACAAGCTTTCTGGGGTTTTTGAATGACTGCGATTCCATCATCCCAGCATGCGGTCTGTATGAAGACCACAATAAATTGTTTTGGATATCTGCTTTTAAAGAAGCGTATGTATTCATGATGCACGGACATCGTTTAAATAACATATCTATTTTCACAAAAATTACAATTTCAAATCTGCCTATTTGATTTGTAAAAATGAAAGTTGGATCGAACATACGAACGAAGCCCAAACACAGAACCAACTAATTAATATCGGCTGATGCATATTCATAGTTCCAATCCCAGCAGTCGCTTGGCATTAAGCTGCTCAAACGCTAGGATCATGGGTTCGAATACAGCTCGAAGCATAAAAGTATGCACGAGTTTCACTGTTTCGTCTTGTGGCGGTAGAGACCTTGAAATTATTCGTTCTTCTATCACCTCTCTGATTAAGGTAAAGGAAATCCTCGGCAGCAGGAGATCAAAATTCGAGTTCAGCTGTAGCAAAGAATTAATCTATGGCGATAGTATAAGTACTTTTTACCTTTATTTCCTTCCATTTGCTTAGCTGTTAACTTTTCAGTGAAACTTCAAATTATGCTGGAAGTGTTTTATCTAAGACCAAGCTCAGTTATTTCCCGTTTATGACAGGAATGTTCCCCCTTAGACCAAATACAGGAAGCAAAATACGAAAGAGATTTCAGAACAAAATGACACAGTAACAAAATAACCAAAACTCAAGAACACTGTTTTCGTTTCTTACACGTATTATTTTACATTACTTTAACTTGTGTATTCTCGGAAATACAGTAATATTTTTATAAAGAAATGTATCAGTTAATGACGATACCTTGCTAGGTAGACTTTGCTTTATACATTTCCAAATTCCTTTATTCAGTAAATAACGGTACGGTTATGCATTACCATAAGAGACCATGCATAATTAATGTAATGGATAATGTAGATTATTTCATAACACAATTCATATATATATATATATATAAAAAAAAATGTATGAGTCCTTATTTTTCTTTAAGCCAGTATTTCTAGCTAAAATCCTTCCCTTATTTCCTTAACCACCCCTTCTTGTCCCATACCTTTCATTACCAAATACTCTTCACCCTTCCCCTCATTTTCTGATAATTTTCAAAGTTCTTCGTAAACAATTTCTCATTGCTTTCTCTTTCCAAGACTCACACTGTTCTCATTCTCTGGCAGAGTACAAGAGGCAATTAAACGGACTGGTGAGGCCATTTTGAATTAAATGACGCAAGCACTGGAACTGTTCGCATGTTCTTGTCATTTGAAATATGCGAACAGCTTCGTCTCTCCATTGCTAATAACGATGGGAGATGAGGTGAGCTCACGCGAACACTGAGGGGAACAGTAATGATTTTAGATTTTTTGTAAGAATTCCAGATTCTAAAGCACAAACTTTATCACAGAGTATCTCCACGATTTTATGCGTTGTTTTCATGAAGTATGTGAAATGAACGCATAATGTTGAGGTAAATTTTGCTCACCGATATATGTAATCTGTATAAGTATTGGAAAGATTTCGAGATAAATGTTGAGATTGGAAACTTGCACTGAAGTTGTGGAGGTAATAGAATTTTTGTCAGTATCGACCCTCTGTAACCCCTACGTCACACGAAGCCCATAATGAATGTAAACATGTTTATTGTATATAGATTAATAACTATATGCAGGGGAAAATTTACGTATATGGTACAATATGAAACAACAGCCTAACTATGCTAACATACACTTAGAAAGAAATAATTTTATATGGATTTATAGCCTCGCAAAGACAGAAATAAAACACAATATCTTATGTATAATTGAATTATTTACATTTTTTAATTTAATATGAATTAATGTAATATAAAAATAGTGCTTCCGCGTTTTCAGAAGTTTTCATAATTAGTCGCTGGCCTCTTCCTGCCTTCATAGATAAGAACTCATGAAAACTTTACTTATATCGTCATTTAAATAACACGTATAATTGAATACTATGCATAAATATGTATATTAATATGGGTATAATAATAATAGGCTTGTTTAATAAAGAACATCAAATGTTTTAAATTGTATCTAAATAGACCTAACTATACATCCTCAACCAACATTCTACAAACATTTATCAGCAACTATCCCAGGCAAAATCAACGCCACGACAATTTTTACGTCTGTTCCAACTACATGTACAGTCTGTGTTGAAATCTTTACATTTTTATAGACTAATTCGCCCTTGAAAATATTAAAAAGTCAACGTTGTTTCCACGTCAACACAAGGCATACATCAATATTGTCTCTTGGAACTTGATCTGCATAAATGCTGAATAACAACTTTAAATTCTGATGAAAAATGCGTTTCTTGCAACGTAAAGTATCCAGTAATTAAAATTATTGATTAGTTGTTAGAAAAATGCTGGCAGTAAAGAGGAGAAGCGGAAATTGTGGTTTTAATTGGAAATAGGAGAAATATCTGCAATCTAAACCACTAACACGACTTTCAGACAAGTAACATCGTTATCTAAAATTTATTATTAAGTTTAGGCCGTTAGCGTCGTCAGCCGATTTTATTTTTATTGTGAAACACGAGGCTTGAAATTTAAGAGGAACGAGGGTTTTATCTTCTGCTTGTATTTATCAAGACTCTCTTTAAGGAAAAGCATCTAAAAACACGGGGCTTTCCTTTGAACAGCCTTACAACATGTAAAACAAATTCCCTTTCGTTTTACACACTTGTCCCTTTCTTCTAAACGTAATAAATTGATTCAAATCGGTCATTTTGTTTGAAATAAAGAAATGGACACCACATTGAAATGAAAGATGTGTTTTCATTGGTTTAAACATGAAGTCCCCAATATTCATGCGTAGGGGGGTTGAGTCAAACAAATCAATATTTAACACCCCCCCTTTCCACGTACTTCAGGGGTAAAACTTCCGAGTGCAGACGCTAGGTGGCTCTATAAGTACCAATGGCCGACGCCTGACGTTGAAGCTTCAGCCATAAATAAAGCGTCTGTTTTGATTTTTAAGTAAATAATAACAAAATTGATTCAGATCTACATACAGTTTCCTGCTACTGTAGTTACGTGAATGTATGAGCTTCAGCTTTGGGATTCATCAAAATGGTTTGTACCATTTTATTATATAAGATATTAACCAACATAACCTAGTCAGTTTTCTGGATTAAACTGCAATGTATTTATTCTAATTTAATGTAGTCATTTTCGTTTCACACAGAAAAAAGCACGTGTCAGAATTGTGTCCGATATCGTAAGACTTGATTTTAAAATTAGGATATGGAATATATGTGTCTAGAAAGAAAGTAAGAAAAAAGATTTTTTCTCCTGCATTCACTTGTAACAAAGCCCCCGGCACCTCCTAGCACGATTAAACCAATAAAATATTGCAAACTTATTTATTATTTCAGAAATTTTAACAACAGTTAATCAAAATTAACAAAATTCAGTTTAAAAATATGAGCGTAGGAATAACCTATTTTGAGCTCAGTTATTGGCTCAGTTTGATAAAGTATTTTATAGTATTTTACAAAGAAGGTGCCAGTATAACACGCAAGTGCCTGTCGACTGAATAAAGACTGTGTGTGTAAGAATTTATATAAAACAGAGTCGTTTACTCTAGTAAGACATGGGAATCCTGCATCAGACTTTCAGAATTTTACCTTAAAAAATGCAAAACAAAATTTTCAAAATTAGTATTACAATTAATTACGTTTACCACAAGTTTTTAATTTCTCTTTCACAAAACATTAAAATATGAGTTCTTTTAAAAAAATTATTGAACGTTTTTCTCGTTCATATATTTTCCACGATATATGTCAATTGTGTTAATCAGTTTCCTAAGGACATCATCGAATTATCTTACACCAGTTAAAAATGTGACAAAGTAGGGAAATTTAAATGATAACCGTTATCAAAATATTTTACATCGTTGGCTAGAAATTTCCTTTGGGCCGAATCTGACACTCGGACCAGAGACTTCCCATATCTGACTTAAGTAGGTCTACTATCCTAGGTATTACATTTAATAATATATAAAAATAATGTCATACTAAGTAACTAAAAATATAACGATAGTTGCATTTAAACTTTAACGAAATAAGTTTTAGGCCGTAAATATATTTGTTACGGATGGTAATTTATGAATAAAAGTATATTCACCATTTGTATTAAGTACAGCTGTCACAACATTCACACGCACGGAAAGATGTTAGCACTGTTGGGATATACGAGCGGCTTTGTGTTATTCGAACTGAGTTTAAAACAATACTGAAGTCCAGCACCACAACAGATTTCTCTTCTGGTTTTAAGGTTACTTAGACCAAGTGAAAGGGAACAAAGCAACTGACTCGTTGCTTATCTGAAGACAAGGAACACAACATTTTTCGGAATAATAAATTAAAAGACATTGGAATGAAGGAAAACCCGTTCAGTCACTTCGGCTATGTCCTATCATAAGGCAGATTTCTGGTCTTAGGCAAACTCCGCCCATGAAGCTTTTGACCCCGTCCCGTCTGAAGATCGGCCCCTAATTTTAATACGAGGGAAGGGGGCATGGCTTGCAAGATGTCACACTGTGATAGTTCAACCCTCCTTTTGTTAACCCTTCCTTCACTATTGCATTCTTTTGGCCAAATTCCTACAATTTTTTAGTAATGGTAAGACACAAAATGACCTGGTGAAACAACTTTTTTTTTTAAAACAGGTCCTTCTTTATTCCTACTTGGATTTATTCCCTTACGATGTCCGCTACTTCTTGTTAGGCCCTTTGCTTGTCCTAGGTCAGGGTGGTATTTTGAAGAGGCCAGTTGAAAAACTTGCACCGGAAGTAGAGTCCTTCAGAGCACACGCTATGAGAATAATTTTTAAAGAAGATTCCAGGACAGATAAACCCTTTAATGTCCAAGAAGGAAATAATTTATGCTTTCCCTAAGATTTCCATTCTTCTTCAACTGTAACCGACTAAACCCTCCTAACTGTGTCAATTCAGATTACAATGTATTCAATTCTGAATCAATAAATACTCTTAAACTTTTGGCAGGGCACCTTAAGCGATAGTGAGATCCACAGTAGGCCTATGCTAACATAGAAACACACAAGATAATAAAATGAGGAGCCTACAGCCACACCTCTAGACGCTTTTGAAACAGTGATTAGTGTTCAGACACGTCATTGACGTAAGCGCCCGAGACTTAATAAAAATACGATTTCAGATTCAATATTACGTTAAAAACATAATTTCATAAATGTATACTGAAATTATAAAACAATAGGACTTTTTTTAAATGTATGAATGAAATAAAATGAAAAGTATGAAAAAGTGTGATATAAATCCCTGCGTTCAAGCAGTAGATTGTGTAATGTTTTAAAGGGGAAATGTAGTTCTTAAAGTCAATGAAAAAAGATTTAGGGCGATCAGCTGTGTCAATTTTGAGTCAAATGCCATTCTCCGAAACGTTAGCATTTCAATCTCATGCCTTCACGTTTATGAACTTAAAAATAATTAATTAATACTAAATCAGAGCGTTTCTTTTGTAAATTATAAAATTACGTTCTTCCCATAACCAAACACTCATTTCCACTATGAACGCTGTTAGCACTTCATTTTAAATTCGTTACAAAGATTTAAGTTTCATAATTCAGAGTATGGTAAAAATTTCACTGTTGCACGGAAACCATGTAACTGGAATACAGGAAGGACATTAACGACCTCACTACGGAATATCAAAAGTTACTAGTCCGAGAGGGAAAACTGTAGCGACGTTCAACTAGAAAATGAAAAGGCCAAATCCTTTTAAAAAATATCGTCACTAAGCTTTAGAGCGTCCGTCTCACTTTAGACTTCCAGTTTTTATTTTAATCGCTGTCCTAAAGACAAATTATTACAGTTGTCACTTCGCTGTAGATAAATGACGAGAAAAAAATTATTATTTTGGGGCAAAAAAAATCATATGAAAAGAATGATCACAGCAAAAAGGTGTATCTGAAGGAACCAGGTGACTAGCTCGTACTGCGTCCAGATGCACTACATAAATTTCAAAAAATCTGTGGAAATTACGTGTGCATGTTTGGGGAAATAAAGGAGGGGTTGATCAGGGTAAAGTAAAGTCTCTACGTAAATATATGTTCACTTCAGTATAGGGCGAGTTGAACATATATTTGAACGTTCATCAGACGAGGAAATTAACTTGGCTGTCAAGTGGTTGACACTTGTGCTTTGTGCTCGGCAGTGCAGGGGTTTGAATCTCGGTCCATTGACCTACAACTACTACTCGCCTGTAAAGCCTGTATGCCTAAATTACGTACACGAAATTGAACCATTAATTGTTTACGAGAGACAGAGAATTTAAAAACACCTTGTCTGTCTGTAAGTAATTCTGCACTGAAGTTTATGTACGATGTTTCCGAGATTTTGTATAGGAGAATATTATTAAATATATTATGGTTTCTTGTTACTTAACGAAACTTTCGATTAATGTCAGAAAATAATCTATGAGAAACAAATGAAACACAACAAGTCTCAAAACGTATACAAAGCGAGACAATTCTTGCATGTTCATCAGAATTTGACCTTTGTAGATGGCCGAGGATTTTCCAATGAACCAGTTAGTCACTTCCAAGAGAAGGAAATAATTAGAAACATTTTTAAACTTCCAGTCGTGAACGCGGATAAAAATAAATTCTGTTGATAAATTTCAGAGTTACTGAACGCTCTAGTCAGTAACAAATCTACTTATCCCCGCCGTATAGAGCACAAACAATCATTCACTTTCCCAATGCTTACATTTTATCATTAACATTTGTATATTTTGTGTCCAAACGGAGGACAAATTTACGTTTTAAATGAATGTAATTTGTAGTTTCATTACAAAAATCGTTTTACAGGCCGAAATGAAGAGAGAATAAATGATGGGGAAATAATATCATACATTAAGTTCTGAATCTACTGATTAATAAGACACTGAAGGACATGTAACCTTAGTCCATAGTAATTACATACTATGAGTAATAAACACTTCAGAAACAAAGGGAACTCGCACTGTGTAGACCTACTGAACTGTGTTAAACGGCCGATTAAAATATACACATCGAATATGAAAATTCTGTTTCTATGGCAATACCAACATATTGCGAGTTCGTTTACACAACAAAATTATTTTTTCGAAGCTTGTTTTTCTTATTATTATTTCTATTCTACTATTGAATTTTTTGTTCTATTTTTATTAAAGGTTTTTATCATACTGGATGGCATACATAGAACATTTCATTGATTTCACAGAAACACA